TTCCCCCCCCCCCCCTCCTCTCCCGGCCAGGGACAGAGACGGCGGCAGCAGCAGACGCAGCAGGAGGGATAGCAGGAGCCGAAGCAGCGGCAGGGACGGAAGAAGCAGCAGCCGGCGGGGAGGGGAAGACCGGGGGCGCAGCAGCAGCGGGAGAGGACGCCGGGGCGGCGGCGGCGACGACGGCGACGACGACCGTGATAAGAAGTCGGCGAGGTCCGGGAGGGCCGGCGGCGGCGGGAGCAAGCAGGCGAAACCACCACCGAAGGCGGAAAAGAAGGTGGGTTGCGGCGCCGTAGGTATTTGGTACAGTCTCGGCCTTTTGCGGGGGGTTCAGGATAGGGGGGGGAAGAAGACGCGCTCTCGCGGCTGGGGGGTTCTTGGTTGTGGGCCATGAGAGGGCGGATGAGCTGGATTTCGGGGGAGGGGAGCAGCGATGCATTGCCGCTGCGCTATGCGTTTTGCTGAGAGAACGAGTCATACAACCGGCGTTCTGCGTCATGCTTCGTGCGTTGGGGTCCTGTTTCATGAGCTGAGTCGATGGACTTTTTTTTTTGTGCAGCGGCTGTGCGGTGCGTCGTCGTCCCCCCACCCTCCTAGGACGCGTCCGTTTGTGTACTGCAGTGCGCCAACGAGCGATTTTTAGTTTTTTCGGGGCATCCCATGTCCACAACGGCGCACGAACTATTTTGATGGTGTCGTTCACGACTTGGCTTGGGAAGCTCCTGTGCGACCTTCCTCCTGCGTGACCGGGGGCTAATGCACCCAACACACTTACCGTGTGTAGACTGACGCCAGAGTATGACGGGGTGAACACTCATAAGCCATTGTTTGTCTGCTCTCTATCTGGTTGTTTTTGTCGAGCAGCTCACGCCCATGGAGATGATGAAGCTGCGCATGCGCAGGGCCCTCGATAGCCAGCTGCAGAAGGACAAGACTGCCATCGCGAAGAAGTCCACCAAGGACAGCAAGATGGCAGAGCTCGATCGCAAGTGAGCGACAATGACGTTTTTTCTGCTCCTGTTGAAATGGTTGTACGGCTCCCCTCAAAAACCGGGCCTTTAGAAGGGTAAGTTGATGCCGGAGGTAGTGCGCAGGCGTTTGTCCACCTTTGCCGTGTGGCATGTAGCAGCGTGCCCTTTGCGTCCTTTCTGGAGGCTGCTGCCCCCCGTGCTCGTGCTGGTGTTGCTCGGACTCTGTTGCTCACCGTAGTGTTGGACAAACGCCCCGTGGAAAGTGCACGCCGTTTAATGCCCTGGCTGTCCGAACTTTGGTGCAGATGCGTGTGTCGTTATCGGCAGGTTGCGGAGATTGTCGCATACCCCTCGTGCCACGTCGTCGTCCCTCATGACGAGACCTCTCCGCGCCAACACTCAACGCTTATTTCTCCCGTTGCTTGGGTCTGCGTCCGGCGCAGGCAGCAGCAGCTGGACGAGGAGCAGCACGAGCGCCTGCAGGCGAGGGCGAGGGCCGCCGGAGGCCGCTCACGGTCGCGCTCCCGCTCCGGCTCCCCGCATCAAGCCACCGGCCGCCGGCGGCGGCACCACTCCAGGTCTCGCTCCTCCTCATCCTCTTCCAGTCGCCACCGCTACCGCCGGCGACGTAATGACAGAGAACCTGCAAGGAGCGGTTCCTCCTCCGGTTCCAGGTCGCGTTCCGTGCCCTCTCACAGGTGGCCTAAAACCCGATCGCGCTCGCGACAGAGAGAGAGAGAGAGAGAGAGAGAGAGAGA